GAGGTGGCAGTTCTCGCTATAATAGTTAAAAACTAGATAGTGTAAAGGTAATTTGCTGAAGATTTCAGTCAAATTGATCCACTATGAGCCGAGAAAGAAGCCGGTGAATTTTTTGCATAGTCTCGGTTATCATTACTAAAATCATTAATATAAATAGCATAGTCTCGATTATCCACTTTTTCTGATTTAATTATCTTTGGCCGTTAGCGGCATATAGGAATCTAATCCAGCCTACATCGAAGGCTAGCCTTGACATCGAGAGTTTATTATGGTCTGGATGTCTAATTGATAATTTAGATAACATTTCAGGCCTAAAGAAAGACTTGTAATAAGCAGATTTTGCTCTTGCATAATGCATGTTTTAGTATTGTGACTTGTTTGTACGTGGGCATTATAAACTGTGACATTTTGTCGTGTAATAAATTATGTTTAACATAATACAAAAGAAAAATACAATTAGTTAGCCACGTGAAAACTCCAAGGCCCATGAAAACGCGTAATGATTTTTGTAGCATTGGTACCAAATATCTATGTCCCTTTAAAACAAGTCACTGTCGACTGAAAACAATCGATGGCACGAGATGACCCCCAGGCGAACATTTTGCAATGCATGATAAATATACCTCACTTCCTGGAGATAGTTGAGACTGATTCGATTTAATGTGTGCATTCATTTCAAATCATATGATATAACATCGTTATAGAGCTAGACACCGTGTTACACAAGCGATAATGACAATATATAACACACAATTTATAGATGCCGTCTCATACACTTGGGCAAATATGGCTATTCTGGAATGACGTTTTATGAATATATGGTGAAATAGTAAACACCACCTTGCAATTGACCATGTTTATCTTTATGTCTTTAAGAGGATATTTATTTGCTTGTGGGTTCGCCATAGGAAATTAATGCCAGGGTTCCCTGTCATACAAAGCGTTACGATAGTTATTATAGGATTGTCCTTATTGAGTCCACGATCTGAAGATACGTTAAGATACGTTTCGATAGGATCATTACGATTACTTCATGATTAAAACCACGATTTCAATCGTAGCACGAATCGTGATAGTGGGAACCTAGCATAAACGATTGAACAAATTATTTCAAAATAACCCAACAATAGCCAATAGGAATTATGTTAAGATGTGATTTTGTTTGTATGTATGGATGAATTTAAAAATTTTATGGTTATAACGACTGTTACAAAACTGGCGATAATTCTTCTATGTGTAATACAGCTAGTTAAATAATGTTGGTCTTCATTGGTTTGAATGTATCAATATTATTGAGATTATACGGCTGTGACTAGGATCACCAGAACTTGTTCACACATTAATCAATGCCTTTTACTAGTCACAGTTTTTGTCAATAAATGATGCAAATCAGCATTATTTTGTGTGTGTGTGTGAAGTAGCTTTATTTAACGTCCACTTCCATCAAAGTGATATCGCCGACCATCCATAGAAAGTTGTTAAAAACAGAGAGAGAGAAATGGAGTTTAACGTCCACTCGACACAAACTAGGTCATTTCGTGACTAACTTATGATTCAATTTTATTTCAATAATTCGCTTGCACGTAGGAGTCTTTTGCGGTGGGATGAAACCGGATGACCCGGAGAAAACCCACAAGGTTGGACAGGCGACTCTACTCCTTGTCACGTACAACCGGGGAATCGAAACCACGCCAGTTGACAGACCTTATGATACAGCACACAGGGGTTAACCATTCGGCCATCCAACCCCGCTGGTTAGAAAAAAAATACAGTAGTCATTAATTAGAAATATGTTACTAGCTAATATGGATGCCTCTTGACGATTTCAAATATCCATCACTATTTCTAACCAATACCTGTTTATATCTTCAAGTCTGAAAGCGTAACTATTTCAAATACCGATTACTATTCCTAACAGATACATGTGTAGATCTTAACTCGTCACGTTTTAGTGGCATAACACCTTGTTGTCAGGTTTGTAAGGATGTAAAAGATTTCTCTTCTAATGTTTCTACATCACTGATGAACATCTATGGCAAGGTTTGGGGGTATTTGTGTGGAACTTTTCACCACAAGAGTTCCACAAGATATTGGACTTAGATAAAAAAAAAACTTTTTTTGATACAATGTTTTATTTTTTTTTAAGTTCAATATCTTGTGGAACTTTTGTGGTGAAAAATACCACAGCATATTATTTTGTAGAGTATATTTTACCCACATCTTACAAGATGATAGGATAAACTATTATTGTTCTAACGAAATAAAAAGAAAATGTTTCATAAATATTTCATTGTCTACTTTTCCAAACGCCCCCAAACCTTGCCATGTCTACTGATGAATAGACAAACCCAACCAACAGTGATGTTTATCATTCAATAGTCAAGTTCTTAACACCTACTTAATGACATGTTCTAATTGCCAGCCATGTTAAGTGTTAAAACATCTACTTAATGACTTGGTCTAAGTACCAACTATATTAACTGACCAGTAAACATTATGAATATAAAATGAAAATTTGGCTGTTTGTTTACTTCTTCTAAATACCTGATATTATACCCCGCTATTACTTACAAGAGTTACATTTCTCAGTTGAACTGCTCTAGAGCTGGTACACTTTATGATAACTTCTTTGCTAGAGGCATATTTATTGAAATCTAATATACTGGGGTATAACTACTAACCATCTGAGCTTAAATATGTAAGCACCGTCGTCTTGGTTGATATTTAGATTCTGGTACTTCACAATCAATCTGGTTAAAACACAGATCCTATTTCGTTTCGTTTTTATAGTTCAAAATTTCGTTTTACTTGTCTTTACTACACTTGGATCTGGAAGACTTGTTATTGAACTCGTGTTCTGCTTGAAATGAGGGGTCAGCCAATCAACTGGTCTGTCGAATCGAGTGTTTGACCCCTTTTGTCCGGAACTATGGGTAATCCACTAGTAACATCAATGCTGATTGGTTAATCAAATGTCTGACGTCATAGGTCAAAAGTCGATCTTTTGACCCCTGACGTGACCTAGTGCATGGAACTTTGGGTAGATATTCGCAACGAAGACAAAGGAAAAGAGGTATTTCCAAATATCCACTAGTAACATCAATGCTGATTGGTTAATCAAATGTCTGACGTCATAGGTCAAAAGTCGGTCTTTTGACCCCTGACGTGACCTATCGCTTTAACTCGTCAGATCTTCATGTAGTGTAGGCCATCGAAAGTATAAAAAACGAAACGAAATGAAATATAGATCTGTATTTTAATCTGATTGCTTCACAATATACAAATGCTATAAAAGTGTCGGGGGGGGGGGGGAAGGAAAAGTATGTTTACTCCTCCAGAATTACTGACACTACACCGCTAACAGGCTACAGATGCTATTGCTATATCTCCACCTCTTGTAGAAAGTCCACATAGTTTGCTTTCTCTCGGTTCTTCTTGATGCGATGTTCTTAAAAACGACTAATTCTCCGCCGATTGGATTGTGAAGGACACAAAACGGGGCATGCTTGTTTTTTGGACAATTGGAGGATTTCGATTTTTGATATGACATCACAATTACAAAATGGCTGCTGTGGCGGCATGCTGGTTTCTTGGTTCGTTTATGGTTAGTACTAAATGATAAGACCAGCTCAATTTGTCGTCACAGGTCATGAGATGTAAACAAGGCTAGCACTAAACCTAACCCTGGACCTAGCCCCATTGCTTAGCGAAACCCCTAACCTACAATCCCACGAACAATCATGTTGTTGTACTTAGTTATTAACATCCGCTTTCACCGAAAGTGATATCGCAGACAAATTGTCTTATTTTCATTTTAATGATCTTAACGCACGCGCAGGGGTCTTTGCCTGTGGGATGAAACGGGAGTACCCGGAGTAAACCCACGAGGTTGAGAAGGCACCCCTATCTCCATGCCACATATGCTAACACCAATGATCAAAACAACAACCACAGCCGCAAGCTAGATGTGACCGGCCAGCTAGAGGTCGAAGCGTGACACTCTAGACCACTAGGCCATCCCAACCCCCCTAACCTTATTTACATCTCAACGACCTTGACAAATATTGAGCTGGCCGTAACAAATAGATTTAGCTGTTCGTTCAGTACTTTCGTACTTGTTTGTATCTCGACCCCCCACTGTTGTTATTTAAGTTCACTGAGTGTGCGTATATAATCATGCGGAAAACCTGATATAACCGCGTTATATATGGTTCAAATACATCCCATTTAAAACACAAATTTACTAATGTGTAACAGAGTTTTGTATTTGGTTACCCCCTCAGGATCTATTATATAGTATTTTTATGGGATGGGGTATATATGTCACATGTTAAAATTTAATAATAATTGTACATGTAACGAGAATTACTTGTCTCCTCGAAATCAGACAATCGTACAATCTCTCGCTGGGACATTTCTTTTATTGAAAAATCAACACAAACTTAAATATCAATTTCTATTTCACCGATTCGCCTGCGCACGGGTATATTTAGAAATCGACGGAAGACTGGGATAGGTGCTATAAGGTACAGGATCCTTCTTCTTATCACGTAAAACCTGGGAGTGTGTGAGTTAGTTGTATTTTACGTCCGCTTCCACCGAGGTGATATCGCATGATTTAAATAGATGAGAGGTACTATAAGCCACCTTCTGCCTCCACTTCAAATGTCGCCCACTCATCATAGCAGCAGTATATAGAAGTGACAGAAATCCCACGGCCCAGCGAAAACCCACATGGCTATGCTAACCCTTGTCACGTAGGGATCGACCGCTGACTTGTGTCAAATGGTCTAGAGTGTAACTGTTAGACACCCCTCCCCACCTCACTCGAATTTAGAGTGCCCTGATAATACCCACAAGAGGTTATGCAAGTGGATCTACCCCTTGTCACGCACAGAACCATGATCGATGCCATGACTTCAATAGACAACAACCCTGCCCTCACTAATTGGTAGAATCTAACATCAGCTGTGTCAATATGTAAATCAACAGACCAGATAAAAACAGTGGAAGATTTTATTGTAAAATATACTTAAATACAATCAACAAGACAAGCAGGAATTTTTAAAACAAATTTACTTTTCATATAATGGCATTTCATATATAAATAAATAACTGTCTTTTTTTAAAAAATATCTTAAAATGTGTTTTATCCCATGCGACTGAATCTTCCATGGCCGATTGAATCAAATTGTCGTTTTTCTTTTTGGTCCAAACTACTTTGTAGCATTCGTTTTTGTTTCGCGGACATCATCTTGAGCATAAGTTGAAGAATCTGTAAGATTCGGTGCTCGGATAAATCCGAATGGTCTAATTTGAAATAACCCGGGTAGTAAGAGTCAAGGCGTTTTCCAAATCCACCCATGCCGCTAAAACTGGATATTGGGTCAAATGTCCTCTTAGCACGACTCGATCTTTTACCGAAGCCACCCATATTACTGTACCCTGCTATGGAATCCATACTACGTTTTCCAAAACCGCCCATACCACTGAAACCATCGATTGAATCTAATCTACGTTTTCCGAAGCCGCCCATACCACTAACACTGTCAATAGAATCCAATCTACGTTTCCCAAAACCGCCCATGCCACTAACACTGTCGATAGAATCCAATCTACGTTTTCCAAAACCGCCCATGCCACTCAGGCCATCGATTGAATCCAAACTACGTTTTCCAAATCCTCCCATGCCACTAAAGCCGTCTATAGAGTCCAGATGACGTTTGCCGAATCCGCCCATGCCACTAACACTGTCAATAGAATCCAGACTACGTTTTCCAAAACCACCCATACCACTCAGGCCATCGATTGAATCAAGATGCCGCTTTCCGAAACCGCCCATGTCACTCAGACTATCAATTGAATCCAGTCGACGTTTACCTACTTCTTCCATATCATCTTCTTCTGGACCATCAAAATTAAACTCTTTTCCCATTAACGAATCTATAGAATCTACCGAACGCTTAAGTCGGAAATGCGAACGTTTGCCAAGTCTAGCTAATCCACTGTATGTTCCAATCGAGTCGAATTGGCGCTTTCCAAAACCTCCCATACCACTCACACTATCGATCGAATCCATTCGACGTTTTCCAAAACCGCCCATACCGCTAGTGCCGTCTATGGAATCTAAGCGACGCTTTCCAAAACCGCCCATACCGCTAACGCTATCGATCGAATCCATTCTACGTTTCCCAAAACCACCCATTCCACTAGCGCCATCTATGGAATCTAAACGACGCTTTCCAAAACCGCCCATGCCACTAACACTGTCGATTGAATCCATTCGTCGTTTTCCAAAGCCGCCCATGCCGCTCGTGCCGTCGATTGAGTCTAGATGACGCTTTCCAAAACCACCCATGCCACTAACGCTATCAATCGAATCCATTCTACGTTTCCCAAAACCACCCATTCCACTAGTGCCATCTATGGAATCTAAACGACGTTTTCCAAAACCGCCCATTCCACTAACACTGTCGATTGAATCCATTCGTCGCTTTCCAAAGCCGCCCATACCGCTAGTGCCGTCGATTGAGTCTAAATGTCGCTTTCCAAAACCACCCATGCCACTAACACTGTCGATGGAGTCCATGCGACGCTTTCCGAAAGAACCCATGCCACTAACACTATCGATGGAGTCCAACCGTCGTTTTCCAAAACCACCCATGCCACTAACACTGTCGATTGAATCCATACGGCGTTTTCCAAAACCGCCCATACCGCTAGTGCCGTCTATTGAGTCTAAACGACGTTTACTCATCTTGCTTTGATCAGTTTTCAAACTATTTATTCCATCAAGATTTTCCTTTTCTGATGCTACTGATTTACTTTCGTTCTGAAAAGAGAAAGGAATTTCAAATAAACTTTAAACCACAATCTTTTGTTTTCATTGTAAGAAACATGACGCAAATTCCTTTAAGAACATCTATCATCACTAGAAGGCAGTTGGAAGTCCCTTCAGCCTTGCTAGTCTAGTTTATAGATTTATAGAGAGGGTTTACCATCCACTCGCCACAAACTAGGTCATTTCGGGACTAATACATGGTTCAATTTTATTTCAATAATTCGCTTCTGCGTAGGCGTCTTTAGCAGTCGAAGGACCCGGAGAAAACCCACGGGGTTGGACAGGCGACCCTATACTCCTTGTCATGTACAACCTCGAAGTCGAAACCACGCCAGATGACTCAATGACAGACCTTATGATACAACGCACGCGCACTAACCATTCGCCCCCCCCACCCACACGTATGTAGGTCTCAAAAGAACCGGCCTAAGTTGTCATTGAGATGATAATGCCCGTTCAGTTCCATTTACTGTTGGAATGTAGGTCGACGGTTAAGTCGTATTTTCATACAATGGACATTTGGATGCACTTTGTGATCGACTAAGTGCTAGTTTTTTTAGTTATAGTATAACCCAGTGTTGAATTCAAGAATGATAGGTCGCATACGTGTATCTTATATTTACGCAGTCAGGAATTCGTCCTGTGAGACGGATCAGATTTCGTGTGGGTCGTCTGGCCTCCATTCTTTAGTATGGGGCCGATAAGTTCCTGTGCATGTATACCTACAAAGTTTTCCTCGGATTAGAGTCAATTTAGGTCGGACTTTGATCTATCGACTTGTGGTAATCTCGCACTTGTTAAGGTGTTTCTTGTTATATAGTGTACAGTGTCTAAAACCACTCTATGTATCTTGTAATATATGATAAATGGTGGAATCAGGAGATTTCAAGATGATTAATAGCAGACTGAACTAACGCATCTGTGTTAAAACGATTATAAAATCGATGGAACGAGATTATATCCAGAGGATTGTAATAACAAAAGCTGTTCACTAGGGGATTTCCCGTCTCAAAGCCCTATATATCGTTTCTACGTATACTCTGATTTACAGGGGCAAGGTCTCTTTGATTTATGTCGAAACATAAATAGCTGATTTGGGTTGATTCTGTGCTCTTTCGAGAAGTGATGGAAGAAGTTTACCCCACGGTTAAAACTTACTTTAAACCGACTCAGAGTTCATTTAATATTTACTATGCTGCATACAAAATGAAGTACGCATACATTTTGCAAACGATGGAGCGAGGGCAAGTAAAAAAAAAACAAAGCGATAATCCAGGAAGTAATGGTTTGTAATGCGCGAATATCGAGGGATTCGGCGACTGGGATATAAAGAAAATATTTTGAGTTTCATTAAAATCGGGCAAGAACTGGGATCTTTGGGAGATGGTCTGTGTTTATTGTGTTAATATCTTACCTGGGGTGTGACTTTATCGGTTTCCGATGATACCAAATATGGACTGGATAACAACACAAGTAGAAATCCAAATCTTGAACTGCTTAGTAAATTCATTCTAGCAGTACTGAAAAAGAAAAGCGATATATTAATTTAAAATGCAACAATTAAATTTAAATTTGTTAATAGATTAACTGTTTCCCTTAAGTTGTTCCATAGACTTCCATATACATTCCGACAGAAAATATAGGACGTCCACTAATTAAAGAAATGGGGCGTTTCTTAGGCAAGATATGCATCTGAAGTTAGGGCGGATTCTTTAATTGCTAGCATTACTAGCATTTCATGAAGCAACAACAGCGCGTTTTACAGCATCTAACTTGATAAGATGTATTGAGTTAAAGGCGAGATCAAGAGTTCTATTGAAGATGCATTAGTGGCGACATGTATGCAAAGTAATGTTCATATTTCTATAGTTCTTTATAAGCATTCACGATTGTATTTTGAATGGTTTTGTCATGAATGGAAATAAAATGAGTTTCAACCTCCAACAATTCTACACCAACCGGGCTAATGAAGACAGGATATGGTATAATGGGTTCGTCCTGATATATTTTTATAATCCAAGTACAATCTAATTTAACCCAGGGGTTGTTATTTAAGCGCTTATCACCCGTTAATATTTGCGAAATGAACAATCTCATTAAAATACATATCTATATTTCTCTTCGTTTTTTTTAATATACTTTCGATGGCCTCCACTACATGAAGATCTGATCATCTGTAGTTGGAGGTCGCGTCAGGGGTCATACGAGCGGCGTTTGGCCCTATGACGTCAGAATTTGGTTAACCAATCAGCGTTGATGTTTCAAGTGTATATTTCGAAATACCTCTTTTGCTTTGTCTTCGTTGCGAATATCTACCCAAAGTTCCATACACTACACGCCAAGAACTCGCCACAACAGACAATTTTATTGGCTAATCCCTCACATCAACCAGAACGCAGGTTATATAACAACTCGTCCAGACCCTAAGTGTAGTGAAGGCAAGTAAAACGAAACTAAGTAGAATCTGTGTTTTAATCAAATGAACAAATGGCTTAAATTTTAAAGATGCCGTTTGGTTTGACGACATGGCCCACTACGTTTCAGCGGCTCCGGGATAGTGTAGTAATAATATGTTGTTCTTGGGGCTTATTCGGTTCTAATAGCTTAATGACAGTCCAATTCTAGACTACTATAATCAACATTCGAGTAAACTAATCCCATATACTACCTATCTAATATTAATTCCACGAAAAGAATAACAACCTATATTTTTTAAAGCTAACGGAATAGATTGAAATTACAATACATTTTGGAATAATGGAGAATGTGTATGAAATCTCTAAACGAATAATACTGTTTCCTTCCTGAACATTTTTAATTTTCATATAATTAGTTAAGAGAAGAGGTGTTATTACTCGCTGCTATTAAAATGTCGCGATACTCACTATATGCAATATGAACAAGTGGCTCTGTGTACCTCAAAATGAGGTTTTGCGACACCCCATTCATTTTCACCTAAACGTAAAAGTGGCTTTGTAAATCAGTGAAAAAAACAAAACAATTCATTTATTTTTACTTGAACACCCTAGATCAATTTATGTTGTATCTTATAAATAACGTTTTCCCGAGATACCATAGGTTGTGTCGAGCTGACATTAATGCCTATGCTTCATAAATTATAATGAGAAAGAAAAGACCACTAGAATGCAGAAACAACGAGACAGGTTTCTGCTAACTGATGACTTTCCCATTTGAAACAGATCAGAAAAATATTGCCACGTCTTGTGTGGTTATTTAATTTGCATTATTTACTCGACGAAATATCGCTTATATATTATTTTTGTCTGTTAAGAGTTTTTTTTTGTTTTAAACAAAAAGAACAAGAAATGATTTTAAGATATGAAAAATCGTCAAGCTCACATTAAGTGACATACAAGGTCTACAAACTAATTGCTATTCAGACAAGACATGTTCAGGTGCTTAATTAATTATTTTCTGTTTATCACTTAAGAATGTGGTCCAAGGTATAATTTGACATATATACAATAATAGCCCCCCGTGGAGGTTTATTTGCTATCTGTTTTTTTTTTTGTTTTGTACTTCTAAAAGTGTGTTTGTTATTTTAGCCTCAAGCATTTCTGTCGTTTCTTATTACAAGATAACAATTATATACATCTTCGATTTTCAGTTGTTTTTATTTTATACCATCTGTGCGTTCCCCTGACTGACACAACAAAAGGAGTGGAGAATTCCTTGGCCAGGGATGGTTGGTTAAGTTGCGGACGCTCAGATAAGGGTTGATTGGATTAGCCATTTTATGTTATCTGTGCGTGCGCCTACAGACAAAACAGGGCGACGGGGATTTTATGTCATCTGTGCGCTCTCCTACAGACAAAACACAGGGGGGGGGGGGTGATGATGGGCAAGGTAGCGTAGCACTTACACAATAAACATGTTTTTAACAGCTGCCTTCACCGACTGGTGTTTCCAGATAATGGTGATGTCGATCTAATCAAATTGTTTGGACGTCTTATTATCTTACGGTTCGTCTATAATGATCGCGTTTAAAAATAGATAGTAATAGATATCAGAATAATGAGGGTAAACAAGGCATGTAATACAATGTCAATATCTTTACCATTCATCAGTGTAGTGATATCTTACGCATGCCTTCACGGTGCCTTAATTACATCCTTCATACACTGCCAATAGGCCTATCGCTGGAGTTAGAAATACTGAGGACTTGTTCAATATTTGCCATAATGAAGATCTATGCTGCTATTCGATGTCATATATTGTTGTCGTGTATTGGTGATGTTTATTGATATTATACACATAGCGACACAGTCAACACGTGTACTCTGTTTTCTCGGTTTTAAGATCCGTGCTACAATTTGTTTCGTCATAACACTTGATACATCTGTGGTGGTATGTAGTCGGGTTTAAAGTTGTTTTACTTAGAATTTGTGTTATATCGTCTTAACAGACACGCTGAATTCGGCGTTTTGAGAAACATCGGTCAAACAAGAACTGGGGGATACGCGGTATACTATATCTCCACCATTAAAAAAATAGGTGCAGTCGCCACCTGGTCAGAGATATTCACATTGTCAGAAGTAGATGTTATGCGCCCATTTTGTACTGATATATCGTACATGTCGGTCAGCTAAATATAATTAGACCTAATCGAGAACTAAGCCAAGTTTCATCATTATAAAAGATAATAGAAGACTCATCTTGTTATTAAAAATACTGTAAAATATTATAATTAATATACTGTAATGGCAAAACATTCAATAATTAATAACCCGTAAGTTAACCCCCACCTTACTATAATTAATAACCCGTAAGTTAACTCCACCTTACTATAATTAATTTGGGCAACAAATTAAATTTAATAGAAATGTCTTCACGTTACAAAATTCATGATTTAATGTTGCGGGAATAAAATCCGATCTAAGCCAGTTAGCAGTATGAATTATTAGTCAAGTGTATAATAATTCAATCCGTTACAATTCCCTCTTCACGCGTTATTACTAATTTACTATTCTCAAATGGACAAAATATCAAATATAACTAGATTTATTAATCAGGTTTATAAGCAAATTAAAAAGGTAAATTAGGATCTGTAGACGGTGGCCATTTTAAACATGGAGGGTTGGATGGCCGAATGGTTAGCACGTGTGCGCTGTATTATAAGGTCTGTCATTGAGTCAACTGGCGTGGTTTCAATTCCCCGGTTGTACGTGACAAGGAGTAGGATCGCCTGTCCAACATTGTGGGTTTTCTCCAAGTCCTCCGGTTTCCTCCCATTGCTAAAGTCTCCTACGTGCAAGCGAATTATTGAAATAAAATTGAACCATATGTTAGTCCCGAAATGACCTAGTTGGTGTCGAGTGGGCGTTAAACCCCATTTTAAAATTGTTAATTGTAGTTAAGTGAAGTATAATTATTTAATGAACGAACTAAGACAATATCCAGGTATTAACCCAATTTATCCACGTGCCGTTCATGATGTTGTAACGTGTTTAATATCTTAAAGCCAGAAAACAGATAAATATATATAATTACTGAATGACTACAGGATTATAACAATGAGGTAGTATTAGTCGAGTGGTCAGAGCATTGGACACGTGACCAAAATGTCTCAGAGTCGGAAGGCTAAGGTTTACACGTGAAGAATATGACGCCAAGCCGCGTTCGTTCGAATCGTGTACACATTTTCGTACACACAAAAGAACCCGTAACAGGGGACGCTGGTGTTAGGGTACACGTACCATGTGTGTTTCTTAATAACGGTTTTGCGAGGACGAGACCTTAGGGCCCCCATTCCGTTCTTCTTTTAGCAGCAAAAACTCTAGTTGTTAATAATGTTTTCAATAGGCCGTGCGTCAAGAATGCCCCGGTTCGAATATCTGGCTTTTAGAAGAGCCCGGATCACACGTGTATGTTTGGACGTCCAGCAAATTGAAAACTAAGAGCGTTAGCCTCTGTGACAGCAGAATCGCCCGTCCATCGTTAACATAAGGAAGGGCTAAAATACAAACATATTGTAAATGAGTGTGTGACAGATTATTATTTTGGTTCGTTTTAGGCATTTTATCTCGCTTTATTTCATTACGTTTTAGTAAAGAGCTTATTTGATCACGTTATTGGATTTTATTTCCCTGACGGACAAGTCCCTTCTTATGTTCTATTAATATCTATTTCTCCCGTCACGTTTCTAATATCTTTATTAACTCATGCCTTATTAATTGTGCATTATACTAATTACAAACAATAGTAAATTGCAAAATTAATAACTAAAGCCATAAATTAATACTTATTACTATTTATTTGATGATGTTTACCACTCAAATATTTGCGCATTGCAATACTATTGTTGCTACCCCTGAGATATTCAAACTGGTCATTGTATAATTTTCTGTTATTGAGTCAAATGGCGTTTTTTCGATTCCCCAGTTGCTTGTGACAAGGAGTGGGGCCGCCTGTCCAACCTCGTGGGTTTCCCCAGGTCCTCTGGTTTCCTCCCACTGCTAAGGACGCCTACGCGTAATCGAATTATTGAAATAAAATTAAA